AAAGGGGCAAAGGGGTACTGGGCTATCAAGAACATCTCAACTTCCAAACCCTTTGCTTATTTTAGGACACCTCCACAGGCTCACTCGTGGGTTTACGAAAACAAGGAACGCCGCATATAGACCCCCCCAAATAGTAGGATTCCCTTAAAATAAGGACCCCAATAAGGTACCCCCCCCCTAACTTCGGAAACCTCCGGAAAGTTACGGTTTACAAGCAGGGCAACTATATTGGCCTTATTATAAGGACCCCAACAAGGTACCCCCCCCCCCCCCCCAATTTCGGAAACTCCCAGGTCTTGTCAGGCTTTGGGGGGTTCATTGGTTCGCAACTCGGACATGCACAGACAGGTAGGCTTTTCAAGCCACCTGAACACTTCCCTTCAAAATGATCCTCGTATACCTTGGGCTGTTCCCCCTTATACTAACAGTCCTTTATAGGGATTCGAGTACCCCCCCCCCCCATTATAATCCCTATGAAGGACTGCTAGGAAAAGGGGAACATCCCAACTTATACTCAATAAGGGGAAACCTAGCATATCCCTGGGTAGATAGAAGTGGGGTAAGAAGTAGGGCAACTACAGATATGATTGGTTATGATCTTACTTAGGGTCTATAGGGTACTCATATTGTAACCGAACTTCTAGCTACCCAGACTTGATTCTTCAAGTAGCCCTAAACCCTAAATCCTAAACCCTACAAACAAACACAAAGTGCCCCCCCCCCCCCCCCCCCCCACAAAAAAAAGAGATAGAACAACAATGCCGCGACCAGGTCTCGTCAGAGTGCCCCTCTGAAGGGAAGAGGCGCCTTTCAGACCCAACTGCCCCCTCCAACTCTGTATATATATATATATATACATTGACTTCTGTGTGTTTACATATGAAGAAACTGCACATACACACATACACACACACACACATACATACATACATACATACATACATACATACATACATACATACATACATACATACATACATACATCGGAAATATATATGTATACATATATGAACATATACACACACACATGAGAGTTTGGCGGGCAGAGTTGCCAGGTGAAGGGACCGGGGGTTGCCGGGCTAGGCGGAGAACTTGTACACACGCCAGGCTTGGATCCATGAACCATCGATTTTTTGCAGGGTTTAGGGTTTAGGTTTAGGGTTTAGGGTTTAGGGTTTAGGGTTTAGGGTTTAGGGTTTAGGGTTTAGGGTTTAGGGTTTAGGGTTTAGGGTTTAGGGTTTAGGGTTTAGGGTTTAGGGTTTAGGGGAATGTTTACAAGGAGGGATCCTTATAAGGAACCTTAGGTGTTCTTTAGGGGAGATTTTGGGGGCTACTTAAGTATATAGGGACTATATAAGGCATGGGCCAGGGAACTGCTCAACCCCAGTATGAGAAGCAAGCTTCTACCCAGCAGCTGTGACAGACCCATGACATTCACCAACCTTCGCCCCGGCTCTACTGAGGCTCGTCTTGCACTCCGATCTCTCAGCAGCCCTACTTGGAGGTTCATGGTACTTTTTAACACTTATAAGCCCCTGAAGTGCCCCAATCAAGCAGTTCTGACGCGTCAGTGTCGGGGTTCGGGGTTGGAGCCGTGGTTGCGGGAGGTTTGTTGAAATCGGGTCCAGGGCTTCACGCGAAGGGCTTCATAAGCTTTATTTTGGGGGTTTACGGAAATAAAGGCACCCCTGATATAGACCACAAAATAGTAGGATCCCCTTATTCATAAGGACCCCAATAAGGTACCCCCCCTAAGATCGTAAACCCCCAGTCTGTGTCCAAGACACTGGCTGGCTTCGATATTCAAGATATCCAAGACCTCATCGGCCTCTGCTCAAGGGTGCACAAGCCCTCAACCCCCAAACTGGGCTTACCGGCGTCTACAGTGGGCTTACGCACTGCAACAGAATAGAAGACTATCATAAAATGGGAAGAGCGAAAAATATGATAATACAGTAATGTAAGAACGTAATACTATAGGAATATAACAACTATACTGGGATAATATCTTGCAAACCAGCTGGCGTCTGGTTGGTGTAAGCAAGAGCTACGTAGTCGTGCACGTACAGCATGCTCCAGCATGCCAGGGCTTGTTGAGGATTTAGGGTTTAGGGTGCCTAGTTACAAAGCCCACGACGAGGCAACGGATCGCAAGGTCTCATCAAGCGAGGCAGGGATGGGTGCCCGATGGCGCACAGCACTTACAACGGCAATGCCCTGCTATTCAGAATTTTTCTGGCGGCTCCTAGCCATATCTCGTCTGTCGCTCTCCCCCACGCAGGACAAGGCTTCTCTTCCCTCTGAGCCCTTAATTAAGGGCCATCTGGGAGGACGTGTTGGGGACCACCTTCGCCTAAGCTCCCGGACATCATGCCGACTTGCCAAAGATCGGCTCCAGTTCCAAGCAAAGCCTGGGAGCCCCCGTTTTCTCGGATTGCAGGCAAGCAGCTTGAACTTCCCGCACCTCCTTGTTGCCTGAGATGAAAGGACCAGGGGTTTAAGGGTTTAGGGTTTAGGGTTTAGGATTAAGCCTCGTACCCCTAAGCTCGTACACCTACAGGTTCCCCTCAACAGACTCCTAGTACGGCCCTGAAATTTCCTTAGAGGATCCTTAAACAGGGTCCCCAAACCCATGGGTTTAGGGTTTAGGTCCAGGGTAGAGTCCCATGAAAGGGAGCGCACGAGAACGTATGGCTCTCCGCATCCTGTCTGACTTTCAAGACTTTGTCTTTCGTGGGGGGGTCCTTAGGGTCTGCAGGCAGGCATTCTCAAAACCCTAAACCCTAAACCCTAAACCCTAAACCCTAAACGCATCGCCATTGAGGAGAACTCTGGGGCACAGCTTGAAAAAGCCAGACGGGCCATAGAGCCCCTAATCAAGAAAATTCCGTCCACGTCCCATATCCCAACCAGGGTTTAGGGTTTAGGGTTTAGGATTTAGGGTTTAGACGAGTTCGGGGCTGAAAGGTTCTTTGGTCGCGGAAACCCTTGTTGAAAAAGCCAAGGAAGGAGAGAAGTACAATCGAGGTAGCGCAGTCGTTAGTGGAGGACTATGGATAGTCCTTGCCAAGTGGTTTCTTATTGTACAGGCAGTCGCAATAAAGAAAATGGGCGCTTCGCAGAACACAAACCCCCAACCCCCAGACCCGCCACCTGCACCCGCCCACCACAACCCCCAACCCCCCCCCCACCCAAGAAAAAAAAATAACAACCCCAAACCCTAAACCCTAAAGCCTGAACTAAACCCTAAACCCTAAACTCTAAACCCCTAAACCCTAAACCCTAAACCCTAAGACAGTTCCGAGACCCCACGAGGAAGCCGAGAAACGTCGCTTCTTGCCGGTCGGAGAGGTCCTAGGGCTGCTCCCACCATTGGAACCGGTTGAAAGGTCCAGGAGGTTCAGGAGTTCAGGGTTTAGGGTTTAGGGTTTAGGGCTGAGGGTTGAGGTTTGAGGGTTTGAGGGTTTGAGGGTTTAAGGAGGTTCAGTTGTGCAATTTCAAGGTTTCCGGGTAGAGGAGAGCGTCTTACTAAACGGTGTCGAACATTAAGAACATCCGCATGCACACAACGACTACAATCGGCGAACGCACCGAAGACCAATCCTCATGGAACCACGCTCGCTGGGCTATGAACTCTACAACTGGAACGGTCGGGGAGCTCCAGAAAACCTGTCTGGTAGTCACTTCTGAGGTTTGCAAGTACAAGGTTCAGATTCCGGATTCCAGATGAGTCCAGATGTCCAGATGTCCAAGGTTCCAGTTTTCAGATTGCTGTAGAAGACAATTGCATTGCTTTCAACACACCATTTGGTCAATGAAGACATCTAAGAATCTGGGTAGCTGGGTAGTCTATCAAGAAGACAAAGGGTGGATTTAACTAGAAACCGCAGAGCCTGTCCTAATCAACGACTGGCAGGCTCATCTTATTCTTTGTCAAGCAAGCAGAAAACCTCTTTTGCAGAGGAAGCATTCGAGACCTTCCAGTTCTTGCCAAACGAGGGAGCTAGTCTCATTCGTAACAACATCAGCAACAAAAACGAGTTGGTCTCTGAACTCATTTAAACTGAAACGAAGAAGCTTCAGCTCTAAATCAGGTGACTCGCATTGTTTTGGGAAGAAAGGATAGGGATTGTCATGATTCTTAACTTTAAATCGAGAAAGCCCCCACATAATCTCAGTGAAACATGTACTTTCTTCTTGGTATGCAAATCAGAGGATATTTGAAGAGCCTGCGCTACTTCTCTTGACGACAACGAAGACCACCTCTCCTGTTTCGGTTAAGAAATGAGAAACATCTTCTTCCCCTTCAGACTGTGAAGATCTTCATGAGGAAAAACTTTATAATGAACCAGCTTCCAACAGATATTTCAGGGAGCGGGTTAGGGAGCGCTTGACATTCAGTCTATTTCTTGGCGAATCAATAACGGAGCTCTTCCCCTTCGCAACGGAAGATGTGAACCATTTTGCGAATCTCCAAGATGGGTGACCTGCTAAACTGCGTCCTTTGGGCAGTGGCAGCACAGAGAGCATTGAGTTCGAACGACTCAACCAACACATCTCCAGAAACCCAAGAATGACCGGTGTTTGCATAGCTTCGCGAGACACAGCTCGATTCACAAACAGACGATGACAAAAAATAAAATGTGAGCAAGGTAGGTCATAGCGTTGATGAAGATGCTACGCATGTCTTTTCTCATGAGAAGCCCGAAACTTGTTTCTTGACATCCGTGTTCGCCACGAAAGTCGTGAAGATTCCGGGTCATAGCCGGACGTAAACTTAGGGCTAGCAGGCGCAGCACATGGCACTGTCGCCAGCAGCTGTGGATTCCACACGGGTTTAGGTTAGGGTTTAGGGCTTATAGAGTTTAGGGTACCCCAAGCCCTGCACGCCCTAAACATCTCCAATCCCTCAGGTGCTCGAAGCTTGAGGCTGCCAGGGTTCCTACGCATGGTCGTGCCCAGGTCCAGTACCACTCGGCACTGAAGTCTACGGAGGGCACCTAAGAGCCCTCAAAGGATCCACGGATCCAGAGCCCGTCATTTCGACCTACTGGTACCAAAGTGCCGCCCACCACCCCCCCCCCCCCCCCCCCCCCCCCCCCCCAAACCCGAAACCCTAAACCCTAAACCCTAAACCCCTAAACCCTAAACCCTAAACTCTAAAAAGAAGGTCAGGGACTTGGATTTTGTCAGCCACGTCGCGGCGGACCGGAAGAGATGAACCCGACGACTGGGTCCGCGCCATCCCTGACTCGTGGGCCCACGGGACCCTAAACCGAAACCCTAAACCTTAAACCCTAAACCCTAAACCCTAAACCCTAAACCCTATGTGGTGTGTAGCGATCTCAAGGGGCCTTAAAGGGGGCCTCAAAGGGGATCTTAAGGTCTTGGAATTGGGTTTTAGGACCCAGGGTGCTACGGGAGCCTGTGCAGAACCTTGGGCAAAGCGCCCTTCTTGCACCTCGGGCTCACGGCGTCACGAACCCCAAAAACAGCCTGCATTCTGAAACCCTCAACCCTAAACCCTAAACCCTAAACCCTCAACCCTACCCCGGATTCCACCTTGAGATTCTGAAATTCTAACGGCTCAAGGCCCTCTTGCTTGCACCGCCAAGGTGCTGTGATGGCAGTGACGGCTGCTTGCTGTCCACCCGCCCAACTTTCTCTGCCAGGAGGGTGTCGAGCTGGCCCTGAACCGGAGGCTCCACGCTTATGGAGTTTAGGTTTGGGGTTTAGGGCTTAGGGCTTAGGGTTTAGGGTTTCTGGGTTCAGGGTCACTTGGTGTCTAGGGTCTATAGAGGTTGGGCTGGCTGTGGGCATTGAGGGTTCAGGATTCAAGGTTGAAGATGTCAGAGCTTAGGACTTTACATGTAGTCGGGACCGATTGGGGGGTCCAGGTGAGGAGCTAGTCGGCTCGAACAACGGTGTTGATCTTGGGCCTTTGCTGTCTCAGGATGGTGTTCTCGCTTGCCTAGCTGCGTGCGTGGCACTCCGGTTCCAACCTGAAAGCGCTTTAGGGTTTAGGGTTTAGGGTTTAGGGGTTTAGGGGTTTAGGGGTTTAGGGGTTTAGGGGTTTAGGGGTTTAGGGTTTAGGGTTTAGGGTGTAGGCAGCTACCCTGGGAGCTGGAAAACCTCCTTCAGGCCGTTTCGGGCCTCAGCTGACGGATGCACTTTCAAGCACCCCATGTGCCCACGAAGAGTCCCCAATCGGAGACCTTGGGGGGTTTAGGGTTTAGGGGTTTAGGGTTTAGGGTTTAGGGCTTAGGGATTACCCACAAAACGGCCCGATCCGTCGGCCTGGAGGGTTCGAAGATCCTTCTTGTGCATGAGGACCAGCTCTTCCACCAAGGCCCTGGAGCTTTTCTGGTGGCAAACCCTAAACCCTCAACCCTCAACCCTAAGCCCTAAACCCTCAACCCTAAGCCCTAAACCCTCAACCCTAAGCCCTAAACCCTAAACCCTAAACCCTAAACCCTACACAGGGTCGGGACTTGTTGGAGTCACGGGGATCCAGCGCCGAGGACTGAGGAGATACGCTGAGAGTATCCCCCTACCGAAATTACGCCACTGCTGAGGCAGCATGGTTGGTGATGCATGCTTTGACTCGGGCTTAGGGCTATGTTATAACGTTAAGGTTATATTGCTTCCCTAGACCCTGGACCCCAAACCCTAAACCCTAAACCCTTGAGCCGTTGAAGGTCCCCTGCCCCCCCCCCCCCCCCATCCCCAAACCCCGCGGCTGCACGACATTACCGGGAGGGGTGAGGACAAGTGTGTGTATATATATATTTATTTATTTATTTATTTATTTATTTATATTTATCTATATATTTTTTCTACATCTGTTATTTTTCTTATTACTCAAGAAGAACCTTATTTGCACTAATTACTTTGATATGATGTTGACCCTAAGAAGTCTTCACGGCTAAAGGACTTAATGCCCCCGCATCCAAGCCATGGGCCGAAACGGATCTTCCAATGGCGACGGCTTCGACGAGGAGGGTCTGGTGGCAGGTTTCTTTGCGGACTTCGGGCTTACATTTTTGGAGTTTCTATACTCCCCTTAGAACCTTAATAACAAATCACTAATTTTTAATATCCTCTTGGGTTGTATATAAACAAAAATAATTCTCAAGGGGGATATAGGTTTGGGTGTCAAAGAGGTCACAGGGTTGCCACATTGGTTCCCAGTTTTTAGAGTTGCGGCGGGACGGCGGGACTACGACTACAGGAGCCGACAACATCTCAGCCCAAAGTCAACCCTGCAGTCAAGGCTCAGCACTGTCCCTAAACCCTAAACCCTAAACCCTAAACCTGCAAGAGCCCCAAGCCTGGATAGTTGCAGGACCGTCGAGCCCAGCACTGATTTGTGTTAGATTATGGTCAACTATGAGCCGGGTCTGTCAGATATAGGATGGACCTGGAAGTCACAACACCTTGTACAATACAACTAGAACACCGAGATGTTTTGCTCAACAGCACGGTTGATGCTAGCAACTAATGTCATAATATACTAAAATAGTAATATGACAATATATGAATGTAAGCATATAGTAGAAGAATAATATATACTCATATAAGTATACACATATATATGTATATATAAGTATAAGCATATAATCATATCATAATATACCAAGTAATTTTATGTAATGATCTAATAATACAGAAATTTATTATAATCATATAATAATAATATTAATATAATATAATACAATATACACCTGGGGGGACTGCCAGTGGCCGAGGATGCTGGAATTCCCGACGTGACTTCTATCTGAAAGCAGGGTTTAGGGTTTAGGGTTGTTGCAATGTCTATGTGTCGGCCGCGAGCAAGCCACAGAATTGCGGGATTCCGCAAAGTAGAGTGGTAGCACCACTAAACTACGCTAAGGGCCGCTTGAAGCTTGAAGGCCGAAATGCTTGAGTTCAGAACGTTGAGAACCGCTACTTTGTGGAATGCTCAGGCATGCGTTATCTAATGTTTCGTTCACCTCAGAAAACCCCAATCCCTAAACCCACCCCAAGTCCCAAAAAACACCAAGTGAAACCTAAACCAATTACGATTGTGAAGGTCCCGGGTGCCCGCTCGAGAACTCTCTCAGGCCGTGGCCTGTCTCCGTCGAAAAAGACCTGGCTGCATTGCTTCATCAGTTTCCACGGGTTGCAGACAATGAAGAGCTTAGGGCTTAGGATTGGGAAAGGGTTTTTTGTGCAATGCACGGCCCTAAACCCTAAACCCTAAACCCTGTTTTTAACCCAGGACTGCTGAGGCTCCGGCCTGAGACCTAAACCCTAAACCCTAAACCCTAAACCCTAAACCGCGGAGAGAGCCAAGTCAGGCAGCCCAACGCCTTCCGTCCACCCCGAAGTATCACGAGCTGACAAGCTTTACTTACTTGGAGGCTCATGGGTAGCTATAGTTTAGGGTTTAGGGTTTAGGGTTCAGGGTTCAGGGTTTAGGGTGATAAGTACCCCAAGTTTAGGGTTTAGGGTTTAGGGTTCAGGGTTTAGGGTTGCAAGTACCCCAAGTAAGGTTATACGTATAGTTACCCTAATTATAACCCTCGTTTGTAACTGCCCATGAACCTCCAAGTAAGCAGGTTCAGGGTTTCGGGTTTTGTTTTGCAGCCCTTCGGCGCAGCAGGCAACAGTGCCTTTCATATGGGTACATTCTCCATGGACATGAGCCTCTACCCCGCTGGTCTAACCACAACACCCTCGGAATTCTACACCGACCACTATCAAATCTCAACCCTACACCTGAAACTGCCCTGATGTATGAACCCCTACTTGAAAGTTCATGGGTACTTACAAGTGGGGCTATACGTAGGGCAACTAAAAGTTAAGTTGGTGAAAACCTTCTTCACCGCACTTATCACCCTACTTATAGCTACCCAAGAACCTTCAAGTACAGGGCCTCCTACCTTGGACACCAATTGGACCCAAAAGTTGCGGTCACGTACCCTTAAACCCTTTTAGGGTTCATTTGGTCCCCAGTGTAAGGTATGAACACCTAAGCCCCATAGGCCAACACCCTCCCCGACCTGCCTGTGGCTCCTCCAGGACGGCAGGCACCATTCCTCAACTTGGTTTAGGGTTTAGGGTTTAGGGTTTAGGGTTGAGGTTTAGGGCTGCACCAGGCGCAGGTTACCATAGGGACAGCAGAGGCGGATTAGATATCCGAATCCATGAAGCACGTCGGAGAGTCCAGATGCAGTATAGGGTCCGGCTACTAGGTACCCAAACCCTAAACCCTAAAGGTTTTCAGAGGGTTCGAAGCGAAGGCTCGAGTTGTCACGCCTTCCATGATGACGGTCTCCTGAGCTTGACCAAGGAACAAGCAACACACGGAGAACTGAAAGGAGCCAATATCCGCCCCATCCTAAAAGCGAGGCCCTGTCGAGCTTGAGAGAAACCTGGTGTGGGCTCACAGAAAGCTCTCCTCCTCAAGTAGCAGGGGTCGAGAGCACGCGGGCTGAAACATCATACGATCGAAAGGGACACCCGCCCCCCCCCCCCCCCCCCCTTTCCTTCAGGTTCACCCCCTGCAGTGTCTCTTCGAGCGTTAACACCCAGAAACTCTTAAAGTCCCCAAAGCATCACGCTCGCAAGCCGCTACCCAAAGCCAACCTATGAACTCGAAACTCGACTCATCTCGACTCTCATCGCAACAGCGCTTCCCAAAACACCCGGTGCGCTCCTCCGGGGTCGTTGGCTTCGACTGGCGAACTCGGTGTAGCGTTTCGAAGCGCTCGACCATCGAGGCAAAAGAGCGCAGGGCCGGGCTACGGCATCTGCCGAATCCCCGACTGCCAGAACACAGCCACAAAAACTCTTCTGCTACAGACCTTTCTTCTATATCATATAAGGCTCTGAGCCGCTAGGATCTCCGATCTGCGCCTACAAAGCAAATCTTCCAACCTTCTAAAATCTCCAAAACCAAAGTCGCTGTCGTTTGCGCCCCCAGCCCACGTGGTCTGATCCGACGCAGCGCCGAGGACCAAGCAGAAGGCAGCTCACATTTTGGGAGTTCAGGGCTCGTGATACTTGGAGGTTCATAGGTAGTTATAACTAGGGTGATAACGTACCCTAAGTAAGGATATGAGTATAGCTACCCAAATTCTAACCCTATGCTTATAGCTACCCATGAACCTCCCAAGTAGGAGTATTCCGCTTTATGGAGGCATCGGGTTGCCGAACTGCTGCCCTTCAACGGCGGCATCTCGAGCATGGTTGGCTCGGGAGACCCTATGCATGGGCAGGCTCATCTGGGAATTTCCCAAAATTAGGGATACCTTCCTGGGGTCCTCATTAGGAAGGGAATCCTACTATTTTGGGGGGTCCTATTTTTTGGGGTCCCCTGTTTTCGTAAACTCCCATATATGGGCGCGTTAACACTTCGGACTTCGGACAGTCCTTGCGCGTCGCTACATCTGCACGAGGTAGCGTGGTGTGCGGCAGGGTCGTGGGCAATAAGCTCATGCTGCTCTCTTCATCTCCCTTTTCAGTCACCTGAACTCTATGACTCTATGACTCTATGACTCTATGACTCTATGACTCTATGACTCTATGACTCTATGACTCTATGACTCTATGACTCTATGAACTCTGGGCAGAGAAAGGCCAGAAGCCATGAAGCCAAACCAAGCGCGCAAGCGTTGGAAACCAAACTTGTCCGAGCCTTTGAACATCAGAGTGCCCACTTATAAAAGATCCTACCTTATTTACACATACATACGTTACATTACATGACATTACATGACATTACATACATTTACACGCATATACATACCTATATATATATATATATAATATATACATTTTTGTTTTTTGAGGCCATGCCCCTCCCCTAAACCCACCGGGCCTTCTTCGAGTCGCTCCAAAAGCTCCGGCGAGGGCTGGCAGCAATCCGTGCCTCCGCAGGCTGGGTAGAACCATACTTCTAGGGGCACTTAGAACTCCCACTTAGAACTATGGTGGCTCTAACCTTACTTAAATTTGGGGCACTTAGAACTCCCACCTAGAACTATGGTGGTTTTAAGCTTAGTTTAAACTTAGGGCACTTAGGACTCCCACTTGTAACAACCCATGAACCTCCAGGCAGCGCAATTTAGGGTACTTTGAACTCCCAGCTACAGCTACCCATTAAGGGTCCTTAGAACTCCCAACAAAACTACCCATTCTTCAGGGTGCTTAGAACTGCCAGTTCTAACTACCCATGAACCTCGAAGTAGGGCTATCGCGAGGACGAGGGTCTCCAAAACCCTCGTAACCCTCGTAACCCTAAACCCTAAACCCTAAACCCCCACACTTCCAAGCCCTCGATCTTGAACATCAAGACTTGGGATGCTCCCCCTCATGCTAACAGTCCATAATAGGGATTATAATAGGGGGGGGTACTATCATCCCTACTAAGGTCTGCGAGTCTACTATTTGCTTAAGAACCCCAAAAGAATACACAAGAAAAAACTCCCTACATTACCTTTAATAAGGAAGAATATTCTTACTTTTTCGGGGGTTCTTAAGCAATTAGTAGTAGTAGTAGTAGTAGTAGTAGTAGTAGTAGTAGTAGTAGTAGTAGTAGTAGTAGTAGTAGTAGTAGTAGTAGTAGTATAGGGGGGGAACATCCCAAATCAAGACGAACAAAGCACGAGATCTTTGCATCGGCTCCGCTCTCCAACGCTCTCAGCGAAAGAGAAAGAGTCGGACTGAGGATCCCTGGATTTAGGGTTTAGGGTTTAGGGTTTAGGGTTTGGGGTTTAGGGTTTGGGGTTTGGGGTTTAGGGTTTAGGGTTTCGGGGTTTAGGGTGTAGGGCTTAGGGCTTTGGGGGATTTGGGAAGGCGTGCTTACTTAGAGGTTCATGGGTAAGTTTCAACTACAGTTGTAACTGGCTATAACCTTGTTTAGGGTACATATAACTCTACTTATAAGTATACATGAACCTTCAAGTAGGGGCTTGGGATCGAGGCCACAGGGCAACATGAATACTTCGGCATCATGCGAAAGCTGTCGCGCACGCAGTGAAGAGTCGGAAGCTTCGATCAGCGGGGACGACGTCAGGCTCGGGATCGGCGGGTAGTGCCATAATCCCCCCCCCCCCCGTCCCGTCTCCCGATATGTGCTATTTGCTCAGGAAGGGGCTATCGGAATGCTTTTGGCAAGATGGCAATCTAGAGCATGTCCACACCTCATATTCGAGTCTGGACCGTCACAGTGAATCCTACTTCAAGGATCATGGGTAGTTAGAAGTCAGGTTACAAGTACCCTAGAAAGGCTTAAAGGTACAATCCAGTTATGGCTGTAGTTACCTTACGTATACCCCCACTTATAACTCCCCATGCAAGCCTAAACCCTAAACGCAAAACACCCTCGACCAAGGATCCACGCCAGCATGGCTCTTTTCTCCTCTTGGAAGGTGGATCCCTGCTCCTGATCGGGAACTTGCGGACAACCCGGGGCCCTTGATTGTAGGGTTCTTAAGCGTCCATGGGGGGTAGGTACTAGGGAACCTTAGGGAAGCTTAGGGAGGCTTAGGGAGTAGTAGGGAGTATCAGGGAACCTTGGGTTATATACCCCCCCCCCCCCCCCATTAAAAAACACTAAAACTTGAAAGATCACTCTGGGACCCCTCCCAAACCCGTGCAAGGCCCGAATAAAACCATACAAACGCAAGCCCTGCATCCCAGAGTCTCTATACGCCCCTCTCTTGCAGTTGCACCGTTTGGGGTTCAGGGCTTGGGGTTTAGGGGGTTTTAGGGTGCAGGAGCCTCTAGCTGCTCATGCCCTAAACCCTAAACCTAAACCTACACCTACACCTAAACCCTAAACCTAAACTGGTAACTTGAGGTTTCGTTTTGGGGACTCGGGCACCCAAGGCCCCCACCAGTTGTGCAGAAGCACACACCAGCACCATGCCACCATGCAAAGCCAATCCCTTACATCTATAAACCCTACTAACCCTAAACCCTAATAACCCCGAAACCTTAAAGACCCTAAAGCTAAACCCTAAACCCTAAACCCTAAACCCTAAACCCTAAACCCCTAGAGGTGATCCTTCAGCTGCTTCTCTAGCTTCGCGGCCACCTTCACACGTCAAAGGCGGCTCCGGGGTTTTGGGGGGGGGGGGGGGCTCAGGTTCACGACCCCGCCTTTTTCCTACGCCCAGGGGCTCAACCCTATAGGGTTTAGGGTTTAGGGTTTAGGCCCTGAGCCCTAAACCCAAAAAAGGAGCCCTGTACAAAGGAAGCTACAGGATCGGTTGAGCGCTTTTTGGGACCTTGTGTGATCCAAGGCATACAGGCTGAGAACCCCAGTAACAGCTAGGGCTCCTATAGCGCCCTCAGCCACGGTCGAGATATGGCCCTGAACCCTAAACCTTAACCTGTTAGGGTTTAGGGTTTAGGGTTTAGGGTTTAGGGTTTAGGGTTTAGGGAAACCCTAAACCCTCTCAGGTTCAAACTGCTGTACACAACTCTGACCCCAATACGGCGCTGAAACCGGGGGGGGGGGCGGGGGGGGAGAGCCCAGCAAATCCGACACTCCGACACCCCTATATCCGACGAGTACCCGTCCGACAACCAAAGCCTAACCCTATGAACATAAAACCTAAAAGAACTAACCCCAAACCCAACAGCCCCTCCTCCCCCCCAGCAAGAAAAAAACACCCATACTGATAAGACAAAGAGCAAATTCAAAAAAGAGATGGTCCCCTCCCAAGCCACCCCCCCTACACCCCTTATAAACCCTCAGAGCCCCTCTATGTAAACCGTAAAGCCCCACAAAAACCCCTACACCTCAATCTGAACCATAAAGCCCCTAAAACCCTAAAATCCTTACCCTCAAGCCCTAAAACACCAAGACCCTAAACCCCTAAAACCACAAAGACTAAGCCTGAAAAACCTAAAACCTCAAACCCCATAAACCCTAAAACGCTAAAACCCTAAACCCCTGAAGCCCTTTTGACCCCGCGAGCTCTGCCGGGTTTCCAACCCCTGAAGCCCTAAAACCCTAAATCCTAAAACCCTAAAAACCTTTAAACCCTTTTTGCGCACGCGGTCTCGGACAAGCGTCTAAACCCTAAACCCTAAAACCCCTCTCTCTCCCTAAACCCTACACTCTAAACCCCAAAACCCTAACGGCCCTAAAACCCCTAAAACCCTAAACCCTCAAAGCCCTGGTGCCCCTAAAACACGAACCCGTCTTTGGCACCTCTTCGCCTTTTCCCTCGGCCAGGCGCGCGGCATCCTCCTGGCGTGGCTTTTTGTTTTATAGGATTTCAATAAGAGTTTCTAGGGTTTACAGGGGTGCTTTTTAGGGTTTTGTGAGTTTTTATAGGGTTTTGCGGGGAGGATCCACATCGCAGGGAAGGGTCTTAGGGTGCAGAGTCCCTCTGTGCGGCTGGCGCGAGCCTGGGGGGTCTCTTCGGTACTTCTAACCTAACTTATAATCCTAGTCATAGCTACCCCTGAACCTCCAAATCGGGCTTCGTGATTCCTATCTTCATCGTCAGAACCAGCAAGCTCAGGCTGTAAGGAGGTAGAGCGTAGGACCTTGTAGGGCGTTTCAAACACTAAAACCCTAGAGCCTTCCTGAGTTGAGATGTTCGAGCGGCTTCTGGCAGCGGAGCAAGTCGGCATGTAGCTGCCGCATGTTCTAGACTGACTTCTCAGCACACTTGGGTGATAAGTAGGGTAACTTCTCTCATAGCCATACTTAGGCATGAACCTTCAAGCACCCTCAGGGTATCACTTGCAAGGCAG